ACTCATGATAACACCAGGTGTTGGCAGGTATGAGGTAAACTTCTGGTTTTCTGTTTCAAATGAATGTCAACTGTTTTAATTGGACAACAAGGTTTCTAAAGATACAATTTCATATCAAAGACAAAACTATTTAATCTGGAATGTGAATGTTTGTAAATTGGCAGTGAAGTTTAGAAAATTGCACAAGGGGGTGCCACCTGAAATTCTGCCTAGGGCACCAAATTGGCTAGAGTCGGCCCTGGTTGAAAGGAATTTGTAAACTTTGGGTCAACTGTTGATCAAAAGCAACAAATCTGGCACCAAAATGATGCAAAACCATCATAAAAGAAAACACATGAGCACCAAATACGAAATTGCAACCCAGATACAAACAAATCATAAAAACATTAAAAAATAAATATTTATTTAATAGTGCAATTTTTTAGAGTACTTTAAATGCTCCAGGTCAAACTGTATTTTCAGTAAATGTACGTTGCAGTTTTGGACACCAGAACATATTGGGTAAATAAAGAAGCCACAGGTTTTTCAACCCTCCTCTTTTTCAGCCCTCATGATGTCATTGCATTTGCTTGTTGTCCAGCAAAGTACTTTAAAATTGTACGATTTTGTGCTTTCCTGGTTTTTAAGTTTTGAAGGAAAAAAAACACAAAGATGCAAGACTGAAGTTAAGCTTTTATATCACAGTGTTTGTTCTAACTTCAAGTACATACATTTTTTAAAAGTTTGAAAAGAAAAACTAACCTGTACTTTTATGCTCTTCTGTCTTTTTATATTTGCTATTTGCATCACAGGACACTTTTTCAGTCTTGAATTTTTATATCGTGTCAGAGAAACACAAAAACATATTAAAATAAAAAAGCAAATTCTAAATGAGTTTGTGTTCTAGAGTTTCACAAAACAGCACAAAGAAACTATAAAACTATCACATAGTTTTTTATAGCTTGTCATTTTGTTGTAATTTAGTTTCTCTTTTTGGTTTCGGATGCTTTTGTCACTTTGGTCATTTCAAGTATTTTCAGCCTTTCACACATGCACTTCTTTCCTTCAGCAGAATTGAAGTGAGAAGTGCTGCAGTTATATTAAGAAGCGGGAGCACAGAGTAGGCTAACTGCAGCCTCTGCTCAGCAGCAGTTCAAAATAAATTTGGAGAGCAGTGTTCATAAAACCAAACTGCATTTTTCAAACAATTATTAAATGTAAATAGGTTTTGATTTAATAAAAACTGAAGGTTAAATCAGACACAAATGTTATCGATTGGAACATTAC